GTACAAACACTAAAATCCTAACTACATCACTGTATACTAAAATCTACTACATCATACTGTGAGATGGCGAAACAATCGTTTCTTCTTGTTTAGCAAGAATATGGATGGTTGCTTCCAATCCTGATAGTCGACATCCTAGAAAATTAATCACCAGTAGTAGGGCATTTGCCATTCACCAGCTGTCGTTACCAGGTTGGATCTCAACTTTTTAATTTTCGATGGTAATAGCGTCATTAACAAGACAGACAGTAAACATAAAAGCCGTAAACGTTTGTAACCTACCTCGCAGTTCTTGAAGTCATGGTCAGCTTCGTCCACTAGGTCGGCTACGGCGACCGCTGGATTTTGGTTTTCCATGGCACTCGTGATCCACCTCGACACTACAAAGTTAGGTTGTGCTATAAACTACGATGCAGTGAAAAAAAATCAGCTAGGGATGGACAGGGGAGCCTGAACATACAAGAAGACATACCACCAAGGGCAGCTGGGCGGGCGGGCAGCAAGTGGGCAAGAGACCGTGTCTGGGGCTAGTGAAGGTCAAGATGGAGTAGTTTTTACACCGTACATCATAAACTGAGTTACAGCTATAGATTTGGGTCAGTAAAACTAACGAACAAAGAAACTCTCTTAAACACCACGGAGCCGTGACCTGCTTAAATGGCCCTTAGGCGACAAGAAGTGCATCCGGTATTTAGGTATAACCTGGTGCAATGACTTCCATCCATCATACACTAGCGCAATATCGCTGTAAAATAAGTAAATTTACTTTACAGTTTCCACCGTGTCAATCAGGTATCAATAGTTTAAACATAAGAAACAATGTCAAAAGCGTGATGCATAAAATTATCACTGTCTACCGTGGAGCGGTAAAGACAACCAGGTCGGGCCGATTGTGCATATCTCACTTGTCATAGCGTTTTCACCATGGTTTCGTTCTGTTTATAACTATGGCAACTGATTCGTTTTGAACAGGGAAGCCTAATTTTCACATATATGACTGAGAGTATATACGTTACCGTCTGGAGTGCTATCCGCACACTATGAACTGAAACTAATGTCGTT